TATGGGTCGCACGCATAGGAACTGTCCTGTGTTTGGATGTGGTAGTACAAATCGGGCTGTGGGAACGGCGAGATTGTGGTAGTACGGAAAACTTCTAATTCGCGGGAAACGAATAAAGAATATACTAGTGGTTAACATTTAAATTTGTGTGCATGGACAAAAAAACCGCCTCTGTTGTTGCCAGCGAGTAACAAACAAGAAAAGTTAACGACACAACGAGTTAAATTAAGGATTAAATTTCAAATAATCGTTAATAATGAATATATTGAGCAAGTGAAAGAAACTGTCTTTTTAGGGGTAGTATTGGATGAGGAATTATCTGGGAAATCACACATTTCTGGGAAATCACATATTGTTTGTGCTTCAACGTATCCAAATAATCTTCATTGTATCAATATACAGCAAAAACGAGCAATTCGAATTCTAAATAAATGTAAATTTGATGCACATACGGAACCTTTATTTAAGAACTGTTCTATCCTTGAAGTTAATGATATTTTTTTATTTCCACTGGGTAAATTTATGTACACTTATCACAGTGGTCTTTTACCAAATAAATTTAATGACATGTTTCTATCAAATTATCAAGTTCACTCACATAATACAAGGAGTGCGATGGCCATTAGAACTCCATTGTGTCGTACAAATATCCGACAATTTTCTGAAAGATTTAAGGGTCCAAAATTTTTTAATTCACTACCTATTGATATTATTAATATTACTTCTTTTGTTTCTTTTAAAAGAAAATTTAAAAATTATTTATTATAAAATAACTAATTTCCTTATACATTAAAATAATTTTTTTATTTCTTATATATCTATAACGCAATGAATGAATATTCTTTGTTCCTGTGCGCTAATAGAATCAAGTGTGCACCTATTTATAATTGGTTTGAATTTATATTTATTTATTATCCATTAATACCTACACTCATATTATCCATAATTTATCAAATCTTGAAATGTTATTTGATATTTATATCAGTACCCTCAATAAATGAGGAAGCTTAATTAAATTTACATAAGCCTTATGGTTTCTTTTTTAAGTTTCCTCGCCACTATTATCATTAATTATTGTAAATAATTTCTTTTTTCTTTTCAAAATGTTGTAATGGTGGCAAATTAAATTATTATTATTATAAGAGCAAGCTTGCCAAGGCCCAACGGTTTTGCCGGACAAAAACGTAAACTCTTACTAGCGGTAGGTTTACAAAGTCAAAACGATCGAAGCTAGAACACAGTGTCAACAGTGTAACAGTATTAATTTTTGGTGGTGCTTCCATATCTAAGATTCATTATCATGTTAAAGTCTACACTTCCTGTGAATTTGGTGCTTTCTTCACAAAGTGCATGATTTTCTCAAATATCTGTGTATATCCGCTGGACTATTATCGATAAGACCAAGTATATGGTGCACTGCCGTAATCTAAAGTTATATCTTGCATTAGGGATGGAGGTGACTCAAAGCCTACATAGATTTCAACACAGAAAGAAGAATGTGTGCCCGAATGACTTTGAGAAAGATTTCTACAAGCTGATGAATAACGCGGTGTTTGGAAAGACCATGGAGAATCTGAGAAAGCGAGTGAATGTCAAGTTGATCAATGACAAGACAAAACAGACAAAATAACTGCTCGTCCATCGTTTGACTCTTTCCGTATTTTTTTTGAGGACCTCGCTGCAGTGAATTTGAAGAAGACACAGCTATACTTAAATTGACCAATCATTGTGGGATTTACAATCCTGGATCTCTCAAAGGTGTTGATGCATCAGTTTCATTACGAATATATGAAACAGAAGTACGGTGATAACGCTAAGCTGCTTTTCACGGATACGGACAGTCTAGCATGTTATGAAGTGAAGACCCGTGACATCTACCAAGACATGTTGGAAGACACAAAGCTATTCGACACATCCGAATGCATACAAGACCATCCTTTGTACAGTATAAAAAACAAGAAATTTCTCGGTAAGATGAAAGGTGAGACGCATGGAATTCCAATTCAAGAATTTGTTGGTTTTGGGCCAAAGATGTACTCCATAGTCCATCCTATACACTGAGAACAACAAGCTGGTGGAGAAGAAGACAGCTAAAGAAGTGTATAGATGTCGGTGACAAAGAAGAAAATAAGACATGGTGATTATAAAACCTGCTTATTTAATAAGAAGTAAACAAAAGCGTCAATGAATCAGATTCGAAGTCACGGTCATGAGATCTACTCCATCAAATTAAATAAGATTGCTTTCAGGCCATATGATGATAAACGTTTCATTTTAGAAGACGGTGTTAATACATTAGCTCACGGACATTATAAAATTAGCAAATAATTTGTGTAACAAATCTCACATGTGGTGTAAAAACATGCAAGCACGGTGTTAGTGCTTTAAGATAATCTAACAAAATTTTGTAATATGATGAATTCAAATACACTTTTTTACACTCCGCGTCTATTCTCCTTTATATTGTAGCCTATACAGTTTATGACGGTGGAGAGCGGCTATAGTAGGGTGGATAAGGTCTTCGAGGATAGGGGATGAAAAGGCCCTCCTGGCCAATTTTAACATCTGTTATAAAAACGGTCATGTTTTATTCCCTCCCGTCAACATTAAGGTTACACCAGAGTTGCTCAGTTGCCAACTCTCATTCGATTAATGATGAAATACCACGTTAATGAACAAAATACTAAACATATGGGAATAATGTTATACGCGCAACAATTAAAGGAGTTATCGCGTTTCGGAACCCCGGAACAAAAAAAGTCCTGCAGGGACGTATTAGTAAAATCGTAAACTGTTAAATTTTTATTAACATGGAATGCAGTTACGGTCATTGCCGCTTTAATGACATTACAAGCGCGTGTAATTGATATGAAATTATACTGTGACGACGTCATGGGTGGATCCACCCGATCCACCCGTCCCAGAACCCCTCTTCCCTATACTACTCATGCATAGCTGATGATCTCGCTCCTCTTATAAATGATCCACCGACTAATATAAATAAAAAACAGTCAAGCTTAAATACTAGCAAATCTTACTCGTCGAATAACAAAGATCAACATGCTAATTACAAGACAAACACTAATGTCACCTGTATTAGTAAATACTAAAGGCGCATTTTCGAGTAAACAAGAAGAAATTATTAATGGTCAAACCACCAGTATGAATATTATGTCTAAAAATGACATTCCTTGTCCCTTACCTCTGTGGAGAGGCTGGTGCATAAAGAAGCAAAATTGTGACTTTAAACATCCACAATATTCGCATCAGAACCAGCCATCGAGCAGAGTGCCTAAACATAGAATACATGCATTGCCTCTTCCAACGACGGAATGGTTTTTGTCTCAAGGGAAACCAGTGCGACTTCTCACATAATGATTCTTCAATTACTGATACGACTCAAGGGTTCGATTCAAATTATCCTTTTTTATCCTATACACAACAAAGGACAGCGTCCCCAAATTTGATGCAATTACACAAGAGGTGCAACAACACACATGTTCCCCTAATTTTCCCTATGATACCATGGCCTACTCACCTTTGGATACAACATCTGATGATCACTCCAACATATACCCACCTCGTTTACGATGGTGAACACGATACCAACCAGAATTTACACCTCCTCAAATATAAAGGATGTCACATGCAACATCCCATTTCGAATAACTACAGGGCATAATATGTTACAACGAAAATTTCCTGGACAAACGCAGCATGCTTATAAAAGTATATCGTATAACTGTATAATATTTTACGACGTAAAACTGTATCAGCGCCCACTCGTGGGAAAAATACCCTGGACCAAATTGCTACAAGCATGTTTAATCTGTTTGATTCGGCCAGCGACCTACCCCATATTGGTAGATCAGACCATAGGCGTACGGGACGGGAAAACATTAGGGGGGCGGAAAGAAATTTGCCCGACTTTTCCGGATTGTGCCCGACCAGTATCGAAATTTTTTTTTTCCGGAACAATTAATTTTGGCGACCCCCCCCCCGTCGCCAAAAAATTTCGTTCTGTGAACCATTTTAGGGGTCCAAAAATTTTTCGGACATACCAAAATTTTTCGGAACATCAAACAAATTTTCCCAAAAATCACAAAATTGACATAATTTCCCGAAAAATTGACAGAAATTTTCCCATTTAATTTTATAATAACCTAATATTGCCCAACTGGCTTTGTTTGCCCAACAAACTGGGGTTATTATTAAGAGAGATTTTATCGCTTTGACCACTTTTTTCCCGACTTTTGCCCGACTTTTATTGAACATTTGCCCGACTTTTCGACTTTGTAATCTTTTGAGGGGGCAGCTGCCCCCTGCCCCCCCGTCCCGTACGCCTATGGATCAGACCACCTGTGTATTCTCCTAGCTTAAGCCAAAATATAATTTGAAAATCCCTCGTACGACAAATTTAAGTGAGTCAAATTAATGAAACCTGGAAATCGAGCAGCCTTAAGTCTGTAAGTGGCGCAGCAAACATGGGAGCGTATATTCCATGATGAAGATATTGGCGAAAAGGTCAAGCTGTTCAATGAAACTGTGATTGACGTGCTGGACACGGAGGTGCCTGTCAAAACAATCACAGTCCACTACTCAGACAAACCGTGGATGGCAAGCCAGATTAAAATGGAAATCAAAGCTAGACAGCGAGCCTTCAGTCGTGGCGATATAGTATAGACTATACACGCCTATGCCATATACCCTTTTCATAAATGGCTGCAGGTTAAAAATTATTTTATGTGCATATAAATTGGCCCAACTAGCCTCGTACTCATGTTGAGATTTCAAAGGAATTTCCACCCAGAAACGAGGCTAGTTGGGCCAATTTATATGCACATAAAAGAATTTTTAATCGGCAGCCATTTATGAAAAGGGTCTATAAAGTCTCTAGTCTGATATCCAAAGCGAAAATAGTCTACTATAAAAGTAAAGCCAAAGACTACCGTAAATCAAACTCTAGTAAATGGTTTAAATCCATCTCCTCACTAGTTGGCATGGATGGTACATCCAACTTTCCGTCAAACGGGTGCCAAAACTACGATCTTTCTAAACTGACCGAGAAACTACAGGCCGTTTTTACCGCTCCTTGGAATGGATTGATGTTAGACAATTCTGCTAGTTATGACCTAAATAATGTGCAACACCGTCGTAAAGAAACTGATCCCCACATACCATCGATAGGTCAGGTGAAAAATGCCCTTAATGCATTAAAGGTGAAGAAGGCGACTAGCATTGATGGATTCCCTGCATGGTTCCTGAAGCAGTATAGTGAAGACTTAGCTCTCGTAGCATATAACATCATCACGAGTAGTATAATTCAATGTAAATACCCCACCTTGTACAAACAAGCTCTAATAACCCCTGTACCAAAAAATATTGAAACTGATTTTCGTCAAATTTCTGTGCTTCCACAGTTAGTTAAAGTGCTAGAAAAGATTCAACTGAAACTAAATTGTGCAGATATCACATTAAAAGATAACCAACATGCATTTCCCAAGGGCCGTTCTACACTCTCAGCATTGATTGAAATTTCACAAAAATGGTTTGATGAAACTGAAAACAATGCACATGGCAGAAAAGGTATCCATACTATTTTCGTTAACTTTAGCAAAGCGTTTGATATGGTGGACCACCGAATTCTCCATTCTAAATTGGCCTCTATGAACTTAACTAAATCTTTTTGGCTGTGAATTCGAGATTTCCTAACCATGAAAGTCAAAAGGTAAAGCTACTTCAAATGTTGTCATCATCCCCTCCATGCCCATATTTAATGTATACATCGATGATTTAGAGGATGAAATCACTGCAAACCTAACCTTCCATACCTCGAAGTGTGCCGATGACTGCACACTCGATCAAGCAGTTGGAGCCGGGGAAATAAGCCATGTCCAACAGGCTCTAGACATTATCCAATGTTGGTCAGAGTCGAACAAAATGACTATCAACGTCAAAAAGGCAAAGGATTACTTGTAATGGGGCTTCAAAACAGCTTCAAATGAAACAATCATGTTGAAACTGTTATACAGAATGCTAACCGTCAAGTATTTATCTTAAGAGAATGCATGAAAGCTAATCTACCTGTGGAAGTAAGTAATGCCCATAAATCGGATCCAATATTAGATCTATTCTTGAATATGCCGCACCTGTTTGGGGTGGCCTTCCAACTTATCTGGTAAATGAAATTGAGCGAACCCAGACCCGCTGCCTCCGAGTTCTTGGTTATAACAATGACTGTCTACAAAGCCTCTCTGATCGAAGAGAAGAACTTCTGAAACGTGAAGCGCAGAAGATTATGAATGACCTTTCCCATCCTTTTCATACAAGACTCTTTAATTCAATGGAATGTATAAATTACGGACAATTAGTAGCAAAAACACATTATCGCGAATCAAAAGACATACACGTTCCTTCTTAGCGCGTGCAAGTGCACTCACACAATTTTTAGTTGTTTATACATACTGAAAACTCTTGTCTGTATAGAGTATAATACATGGGTGCGCGGAAATACCAGATTTATTTCGAGTGTTGAACATTATATCTCACGAGTGAGCGCAGCGAACGAGTGAGATATCATGTTCAACACGAGAAATAAATCTGGTATTTTCAAGCACCCATGTATTTTTCTGTTTATCATATAAAGGACAGTCTTTGAAAAGCGATAATTTTTACAGAAAAGCGATAATTGAAAAGCGATAATTTTCACACGTGAGATTATCATAAATAATCTCACATGTGAGATTATCACTTTTGTCAGTGCTCGAAATCTCTTTCAAAAACTCATTAATAATTCATGAAGCAATTATCCAATCTTGAGTAAGAAATTAGTCACGTGCATACGTCTTTATACCAGCTAAAGAACACTTTAACAAAAGACCATTGTTATGCAAACTATATATATATAAAGGTTTTTATATAAAGATTTTTATATAAAGATTTTTATATAAAGATTTGACTTATTATGCATACGTTTTTGAAGTCATTCAAAAAACTCGCGGGTCGTGTTTTATTAGGTCTAAAGCCACTCGCGCTGCGCGCTCGTGGCTTTAAACCTAATAAAACACTCCTGCTCGTTTTTTAAATAGTACATAAAGCACTACACTTTATATAATAAAATGTTCCAATATATTTTTTTAACGTAATTTCAATCAAACTGTAAATCCATTGTACTTTTATACTTAAGATGGATAAATAAAGATTATTTATTTATTTATATTTATTTGAACTCAGCGTGTTCGAAAGTGTTAGTTCCCATAACAATATTTCAGTTCCAAGACATGCTTAATGAAAATAGTTTTCTAGGCACTTTTCGAGGTCACAGCAAACGGCCTAACACTTGCGCCCCATAATGCAACCTGGTTCTACAGGATGTCAAAAAAGGCAATCCAAATTTAGCATACCATTGTGCGTTAATTGCTCGATGTATATCAAACACTGCTGCTCATGTTTTAAATAATACGTAAAGGTATACATGAAAAATACCAGTATCAACTCTGTAATGTTTTAAACACGAGGTACTACACTTCCACCCCATGATGCAACCTGGTTCGATAATCACAATGATTTTATAATATAAACAAGACGCCTGCTCAGGCGGTCACACTGGCCTGAAAATGGCAACTTTTGTGGAGGGTGTAATGTGTAGTAGAGAAGTAAATAGGGATAGAGGGGGTCTGGACCATATAAATACAACCAATAAATACAATCATGATTAGCAACTATCAACCATAATATACCAAGACGCCGGCTCAGGCGTACCCTCTGCCGCTCTGGCTACGGACAATTCAACCTAACAAACCAGGTGCACTGTAACTATGATCATCAACTATCAACCGTAAATATTGATGGGTCAATACTAGCGAATAAATTCTATTGTCCTTGATTTTTAATGCCATTATATGGCTCGTTTCAGGTGCTAAGAAGTTTATAGACATAGACGATTCTTAGCCAATTTGCTGCCAGTTATAAAATAAACTGATCCCAAACCCTTCTCTAACCCCACTATTCTTCCCTTGGGCCTGCACGCGGGCTACCCTCAACCAGTAAACATCTAAGGGGCCGATTACATGGAGCATTTTCAACCCCGGGGTTGAACTCAGCCCTGTTAACTGGGTTGAAATTTTTTGCGATTACATGGACGATTTCAACCCCGGGATTGAAACGTTATACTATACGTTCGCGGCATCGATTCGCGCAAGTAAAAAAAGCCTTTATCTTGTTTTCTTGTAATAAGTAGTCACTACCACGTATGCTTGAATAAGTCATGATAATTTCAGCCCTGGGTTAAAACGATTACATGACAAAATTTTCAACCCAGGGCTGAGTTCGACCCCGGGGTTGAAATTTCAACCCTGCTAGCTGAAGCAGGGTTGAAATTTCAACCCCGGAGTTCAACTCAGCCCTGGGTCGACAATTTTCTCATGTAATCGCGCGTTTGATTTTGATAGAGTTTTGTATTACAGATAGGGCTGAAATTTCAACCCGGTAAACAGGGCTGAGTTCAACTCCGGGGTTGAAAATGCTCCATGTAATCGGCCCCTAATAAACAATTTGAGAATTAAAAAGTTGGGGGGAAAGTTGGATCTTGTTCCAAAAACAAAACGAACCATACCACGTTTCACTTTGCCGCACGCAACGCTACCTCGCTGAATCAGAATACAATCGAAAAACACATACATTCGACACGCCAGAGAGTCCAGAGTGCGCCACAACGTATTTTTCACAGGAAAATCGGCACAATTCTTTAAAAATTCAACGAAACTGTGTGAAATATATGTTAGATAGCTCAGTGAAAAGCCGCCATTTTGAAACTGAACTGAATATGTCACTGGAGCACTGGCGCTCTCTATCGTCGGAGTTCGGAATTGTGCGCGTGCCTACAAGTGTATGGGCTAATAAACAAAAAATGTACCACAAGCATGGCATGAGCCGGCTATTACGTACATAAATACGAACTTTTTACTGTGTTACATAAATTACGGAACTGAGGTATCGAAGGCATTTTGGCTTAATAGTTGTAGCCTGAGCCTGCGATGAGCTAACGCAAACTCGATTTCTCGACAACGAAAAAAAAAACAGAAAAAGGGGGGATTTAAGACACTTGGCCTACAGGCCAGTGTAATAACGAAAACATTTTTGTGACAGATTTCATATATTCGTTAACCAAGAGCATGCAGATCTCTCTCGGGTGAGTTTCCCAGTTAAAACTGGGCTTATATGAACAGGCCACAAAAAGTAAGAGAGTAAAGTGACTGTTAAGTATTTAGTTGCTAGCCTCGACATACCAATCTACCATTGTAACCAAACGTAGGAAGTGTCTGTAGCAAGATCTCTGGTATATAATGAAAGCCCTTCCAAACGAAGTATAGGTGCCCTTGTAGAATCCGACATATATAAAACCTGTTTTAGACCTATTTTTTCTGTATTTAGCCCTATTTTTTCCGAATTTTTAAAAAAATATGACTATTTTATTACTATTTATCGAATTTCATAAAATAGTATATGACTATTTACACTCTATTTAAAATATAGGTTCCTTATATTTTTTAAATAGCTTTGAAATAAGTATTCAAATCCGCTTTGAAATAGATTTGAAATAGGTACTCAGAATCTCATTATAAAATAGCTTTTAAGGGAGCATTCATTTTTTAGCTGGGGGGGGGAGCAGGAGGAATTTGGGGGTGGGTCAGCCAATTTTGACATGCTTCAAAGGGGTGGGTCTTTTGATAGTTTTGGTATAAATGGAGGGGGTCATAAAAATAATCAGTGAAAAAATCACCAATATAATTTTATAGAATTTGGAACTATTTGGATCAAGAATGGTAAAAAGGTCTAGAATCTATCAACTATCTCGTCATCTTTAATACAGAAGCAACTAGAAATTCGTTTGATGCTCTGTTCACCAGTCAATAGGAAAACATTTCCTTGACCTTGTTTTTATCCGGGGTTTTTATCCGTTTTAAGCTTTATTCATTTTAAGCACATTATCCATGACAAAATGCAAAGAATGAAGATATTACCCACAGTTTCCTGCAACTTATCCTAGTTATCCAATATGCCTTCGCCCATTTAGTACTACCAAATTGTAAATTTCGACATACTAAAACGCTATTTTCTGACCATCAGAATTCTGTCAAAATCTTTCCCAAAGTCCAGGAAATGGCATTTCAGAGACTCTAGATTTAAAAATTTCCTCGGGCCTTCGGCCCTCGCTTTCAGCCCCCCAAACATAAAGAGCTTCCTACAGCCCTGAAACACTACGGAAATGACACCGTGTGGATTAATAATAGTTAGGATGAGGGGTCAAAAAATATTTGAGTAAAAAAAATGGGGGTCATAATTTTTATCAACTTTTCTCTCGGGGGTTCCAAGTTTTAGCATGGAATTAGACTTCAGTTCCTCCGGCACCCCACCCCCCCCCCCTAGCTAAAAAATGAATGCTCCCTAAATAGCTATTTAATTCCTATTGATAACAAACGTGTCGGATAAAATAGTTTTAAATAGCTATTTTTAAACTATTTTTGCCTCTCTTCTTTGGATCCATTCTTAAAATAGTTATTAAATAGCAAAATAAATAGATCTTAAATGGCTATTTAATTCCTATTCATAGAAAGCTGTGGCGGATTTTGTTCAAAATAGCTATAAAATAGCTATTTTTAAACTATGTTTGCTATTAATTAAATAGGAAGGTAAATACATCTAAATAGCTATTTAATTCCTATTCATAGAAAGTTGTGGCAAACGTATTTCAAAATAGCTATAAAATAACTATTTTAAACTATGTTTGCTTTTATTTATAGAGCCATTCTTAAAATAGTTATTAAATAGCAAAATAAAAAGATCGTAATTAAATTTCTATTTAATTCCTATTCATAGAAAGTCGTGGCGAACTTTGTTCAAAATAGCTATAAAATAGCTATTTTTAAACTATGTTTACCTTTATTTTTAGAGCTATTGTTAAAATAGCTAATAAAAAGCAAAATAATTAGATCTTAAGAGTGAATGTCAGTAAAAATCGAACATATGAGATAGTTCGCGGCCACGACTGAAAAATCGATTTTGCTCAAATTTTGCCCAGATATACCTTATTATATCGGAAAATGCACCATATATTTTTTTAGGCCAAATGCTTTTTAACTTTGAGAAAATGCCGTTTTAACACGACCACCCTAAATCGCCATTTTGTCTGGGAAAATATGCGCTGATTTTACCGACAAATTTCACGACGACAACCGTTTCTCATCGATCTAAAACCCTAAAAATCTTGTTTTCGGTTATTCAAAGGACCGGGTACGTGACTTACAAGAAATCTGAGTTACTTTTAGGAATAGAAATAATCGTAGTTTTGGAGCACACTATCTTATTTCATTTACGATACCCTCTTAACAAAACCGATTTTCACTATGGGATAAAGCTCCAAATCGATCATGCTTCCACTAGTTGGCTCTTTAATAAACAAGCTTTCAATTGACGTAAATACTTCTTTGGGCAAATGAATACGCGATAAACGACAGCGCGCTGAAATCGTCCGTTTTTGACGTCTTGCAAGCAAACGCTGTTAATTTACATACCGTCGAAGTAAACAATTTAATCAAGTATTCTAAGTATTTTACCTTTTGAGAAGAAGATATATTCTTGAATGGAGACTTTTTGCCTTGCTAAGTTTAAAATTGGTCCAAAAATCCTGATATATTTGTAAAATATCATCATTTACAGGTATTTTGAGATATAATATTGTTGTCAGTTGCATAATAACTTCAGATCACTGTTCAATATTGTCTACTTTTAATAGCGCTAACATACAAATCGATGAGCTGTTTAGGGATTATATTTGCTACTAAATTTCCCAAAATTAGAACTTCAGTTGTTCTTTTGTTCCAGTTTGATCCATATAATGTACCATTTTACATATCGACTATGCTATCGAGTATAAATGTTTACGAATACATAAGTTAATTATTAAGCAGCTGTTAATAGCGTGCGTGTGAAATGAACATTAATCCATACAAGCTTTGTTATTTTATTACATATTCTACAACCTCAAACTCAAATTATAGCAAATAGATTAGAATAATTATTTTAATGTGTGTTCACTTTGATGCTCAGTTAAAATAATCAGTAAAATTACTTTCTTTTGATACACTATTGTTTATTGATCTTATTATATTCCACAAGTACTAGTAATCCAAAAATACAGCATGAGATATGTTACCCAAGTGCGACACCTGAAATTATTATTGTCTCCCCACACGTCGCGTTTAAAAAAAATGGAAGCTTGTTGCTCGTTTAACGCCGGATTAACCATGTGTCAGATGCGGCAAATGCCACGGGCCTCGCGCTTATGGGGGCATTGCGCTTTACTGTGCCACGCCCATTTTACGAGAACACGGCCATTTTCTATTGGGACACACCCATTTTAGGTAGTTGGCCCCAACACGGCCCCGGGAAGATATGCAATACTCGTGTGCATATAATCTCCAGTTGCGTTGAGCTGTTATATTATGATCCTGTTTATACATGTTGACCCAACAACTGGGCCAGGCAGGCCATTGTCTCGTTTATAATTGATGCTAATAAATTGAAATATTGAAAAAAATTATTTAACAATTTTGTGTGTCTTTAAATTCAAAGATTTTCATAACAAGGCGGAGAGTGGGGGGGGAGGGGGTTGGGGGCCTCGCGCTAAAATCTGCCACGAGCCTCGCGCGACGTTAATCCGGCCCTGGTCACTTGTCGCTAGTTCTTGTGGTTTTAATGCCAATTGCCAAAGAACGAAAGAGAGCACCGATGACTTCCCCCGTCGGAGAATTACTGGCGCAGCCCAGGCCAGCTCAGTGAAATATGGGGGCCCAGGGCCAATTATATCTTTGGGGCCCCGGTGAACCACACTAATTCCCCTCCCACACCTCCGTCGACAAACTTTTTACCCCCTTGCAAATTTGTATTTGCCGGCCCTCCTTGAGCTGGGGACGCGGAGAAAATTGCTCCCTTTGCACCCCCTCCCCCCCCTGAAAGGGCGGCCCTGGCGACACCCCTGTCTTATCATAACTATCTACTTCAAATAATTTTTAAAGCCCTGGTCTTTTTCAAGTAGTTTTTGTCCCGAAAAAGTAAAAGACTTGGTGATTAAATTATTTACTACGGTATGTTATTTAATAACGAGCAAGGGTTATGGTAAGGATTTTTAAGTTATAAAGTTGGTGTTTGGAATAGGGTTAGTGTAAAGCTTTGTTACGTTTTGTCATTCTGAGGCCAGCGAAATAACCTCTTACGCAACATGCATGCGTACGCGTCTACTATCGTCAAGAAACAATCAATACGTATAATCGTTGTGGTCTGTGGGATTTTAATGAGATTTAATGACCTTGCAGTTTTAACACACATTAGCCGAATTCATATTAGAGACGGGAAACTCGTATTAGGGGCTGATTACATGGACCGGGCCAGCCCGGTTAACCGGGCTGAAAAATGTCACGAAAATCTTCATTGGGCAGCAAAATGAGTTTTAAATCGGGTTTAGGATGATTTTGCATCTATAATAAACCAATTATTTATCGCAAATTTATTTTACACGAGTTTTAAAACCACAGTAAGGTCCTAAACAAACGAGTCAGCCCGGTTAACTGGGCCAGCTCGGCACCATGTAATCAGCACCTTAGACGGGAAACTCGTCTTAAATTCGAATTTATCCGTTCCTAAATTCATATTCAGGAGGGTTTTCACAGACGAATTTCCGTCTAAGACGAGTTTCGCGTCCCTAATATGAATTCGGCTATTCAAATATAAGGGCTGGTAAACTAAAAATAAAAACTCCTTATATTGATAAACATTATAAACGTTCATTTCATGTCACGCACGCTAACACCTGCTTAATAATTAACTTACGTCTTCGTAAACATTATAGTCGATACATAGCTGGTACATTAATTTAATAATATACAAAACCTCTGAAAACAGCAGTTGTAGTTCTAATTATTTTGGTAAATTTAGTAACAAATATAATCCCTAAACAGCTCATCGCTTTGTATGTTAGCGCTATTAAAAGTAGACAATATTGAACAGTAATCTGAAGTTATCATGCAACTGATAACAATATTATATCTCAAAATACCTGTATATGATGATATTTCACAAATATATCGGGATTTCTGGACCAATTTTAAACTTAGCAAGGCAAAAAGTCTCCATTCAAGAATATATCTTCTTATCAAAAGGTAAAATACTTAAAATACTTGATTAAATTGTTTACTCGGAAATCAAAGTCTATTTTCTTTGCTTCATATTATCGGCCGAATATGACAGATATGGTTAGCCTTGATGAACTGAATAATTCGCTTTTCAAACTATCCGATAAACTGAACAATCAACATGTGATATTGGCTGGAGATTTCAATGCACCTAATATCGATTGGAAAGATTATGCTCCAGTAAAGGCTTCTGTTCATTCTGATAGATTGCTCGAAATTATAAACGAACATGGACTTAACCAAATGGTTAAAGAGCCAACAAGGAGTCAGGGAGAAACACACAATATACTAGACATGATCTTTACGAATAACGAAAACATTATCAACAACGTCAAAGTACTCCCGGGAATTAGCGACCATGATATTGTTTATTTCCAGGTTAATTTAAACTGTAAAAAGAAAAGGCATGTGAAGCGAAAAATATTCATCCGGAAGCGGGCAGACAAAGAACTAATACAGCAAAAGCTACGTGAGTTGGCTAATAACTTTGAGTGTTCAGTGAAGCAGGAGTCCCTTGATACTAAGTGGGATGCGTTTCAACAAGGTATTCAAAACATAATGAATTCTTGCATACCATGCAAATACACATCATCTCGTTATAATCTGCCCTGGTTTAATCGTGCACTTAGGAGACAAACCCGAATCAAACAAAAGTTATATAACAAAGCTAAAAAGTCGGGAAAAGAAATTGCCTGGTCTAAGTTTAAGACGGCTAAGAAACAACTGAGTAAGAACCTGAAAAGAGCTAGGGATACATATTTGTCTGGTTATTTAACTGATACTATGCAAGAAAATCCTAAGGCCTTTTGGTCCTATATTAAGAGATTACGACAAGACAACCCGGGCGTTGAAGATTTTAAAATGGATAATGAACTCATTAGCGATGCCGGTTTAAAGTCTGAGGTACTTAGTAAACAATTTGCTAGTGTTTTCACGACAGAAAATGTCGAGAATATACCAACTCCAGGAAGTAACTTCACGCCTGCCATTGGTAATATTGTGATCACGGTGAAAGGAGTCGAGAAACAACTAGCATCCTTAGATGCAAAAAAAGCAAGTGGACCGGATGGAATTCCACCATGGTTTCTAAAAGAAAATGCAAGTCAAATAGCACCGATTCTGACAGATATCTACCAGGAATCAGTTAGTAGCGGTAGCTTACCTGGCAAATGGAAAGAAGCCAATGTATGTGCGGTATTTAAAAAAGGGAAAAAGTGTGACCCGGGAAACTATCGGCCGATATCTTTAACCTGCATCGCTAGTAAGGTTTTAGAACAAATTGTGCATAGCCACTTAATGAAGCATCTCGAAAGGCATAGCATTCTCATTGATAATCAGCACGGCTTCCGGGCTAAACGATCCACAGAAACTCAACTGATATGCACTACTCATGATATTACTAATGCTATTCAACAAAACAAACAAGTAAATTTGGCTATTTTAGACTTCTCAAAAGCTTTTGATAAAGTCCCTCATCAGAGATTATTGACG